GGCCCTTCCAGCCTGGCCCCTACATTCTTTTCCCTGGACCTGCCTGCCCTCCAGCTGCCGAGGCCTGCTTTGAACAACCCTGTGCCCAGGACTAGCTGGGTCCTCCAAGCTGCACAGAAATGCTGACTCCCCAGGGAGACCGCACGCACCTAGCGTGTTGGAGAGCTCTCCTCTCCCTCTGTGGAGCACCGTACATTATCCTACCCCTGGAATGGCCAGGACAGGAGGAATTAGCCATCTGGGTAAAATAAAGGACAGCCACCGCAGGGCCCAGGGCCTGCCCTTTGCTCTGTGCAGGGCCAGGGAGCAGAGGTTCTGGGTTCGGGGCCCTGGGGCCTGCACACTGCTTCTGCAGCCACAGGCCTGTGTAAACAGCTGGCCATGCGCACAGCTATGTGCCAGTAAAACTTGGTTGGTAAAAATAGACTGTGGCCCTCCTTTGCAGCTGCTGCTTAGGTAGATCTCATGCAGCAGGGATCTAGAACTGCCTGGGACATGGGGCATGACAAGGGGCGTTAGCTGTTTTGCTGGTCCTGAGCTACGTGGGACCAGGCCGCTCAGTGTACCTCTCTAGGCATACTCAGGACACTTCTTAAATACAGAAATGACTCCTCTCTCCAGGAAGGGGAAGGCTAAAATAAAATCCAGTTCTTAAATCTGCTGGTCACTCTCTTACACCACAGGTCCCTGACAAAGGCCTCCACCTGCCTGATTTGACCTGCTTTAGGAAAGCACTCTAGGGCCTCTCCCCAGGTTGGCAGCGCCTCAAGACACAAGGTAGTCCCGTGCTGGCTGCGCCTCACATTGAGCCCTGCTGAGCCCTGCTGCCCTCGGCTACCACGACGGTGAGCGCAGTCAGCACGGGCCCAGTGCCCAGAGCATCCTGCAGGCTCACCCATCCTCAGCCATGTTGACGCCCAGGCTCTTGGTGTTGCCCACCTCCCTGCGCTGTTGCCACGCGCCCGCTTTGCGCTCAGAGCAGGGCACATGGGGCGGGGGGGACCTTGTTCCTAGAGGCTCCAGCTGCAGGGATGCAGCGTTTTTGCTACCTCTGCATGTGTAACAGCACGCTGACACGTCCAAAGGGTGAGGTGCATGCTGTGGCGCGGGAAAAGGAAGTCCTGCCTTGCCCCCGGCCGAGCTCTAGAGGTAAGGAGGGCTGCGCAGCTGGGAGGAGGGCGTGGGCATCAAGGCTCCTTCCCTGCTCCTCAGAGGCTGGGCGCTTGCTCAAGCGGGAGGACAGCAAGTGATCGGGGCGGCCCCTATCTGTGTGCGGGAGTCAAGCCCCTCTGCGGCTCAGGTGGGCGGAGGACGGTGCCACCGCCAGCCACTTGCCATTCCGGTCGTGTCTGGGCTCCCGGCTCTGGAGGTGAAAGGTACCAGCACTAACCACAGCCCGTCAGTCCTCCCCAGCTGGAATAAGACAACACGCGGGAGCAGAGCCGCGCTCCTGGCCAAATAAAAGCCTGTCTGCCCAGCCTCCCTGGCTGTGAGCGCTTAAGACACGGAGCCGTGCGGGCGGGTCTCTCCCGTGCCATTATGTTCCCCGGCTGCGAGCGCAGGCACCAGAGCCTGCCGGGTCCTGAAAGCTTCTCGGTGCCGCAACCCTGCTGCTTTGTAACATGCGCAGGAAGAAAGGGACACAGCCAGCGGCAGCTCGCGTCTCTCCCCGCTCTGCGTGCTCTCTGTTCGCACTCCCACACGTGAGGTGCTCAAGAATAGAATAGCACTTCACCTACCACGGGGCTGCACGCCAGAGGGGATGGGGAGTCTGATTCTTGGCCAGGGACGAACCAGGAGGGCAGCTGAGGACAAGGAGAAAGAGGGTGGGGAGAATGTGGGCTTGCTACGCCCACCTCCAGCACCCACCTGGGGTCAGGGTCCCTGCCTACATGGGGGACTTTCACAAGGATGTTCAATGACCTGCACTCTGCTGCTCAATTTGACAGGTGCTTCCTGAGCTCAGACCTGAAAGGAAACTAGGATGGTGCCGCTATCCAGAGATGGGGTGAGGAGGCCGCCTGCCAGGGCGGGGACAGCTGGGCTCCAACGGGCTCCTCTGCATGGCCTGAAGCTGCCTGGGCAGAGCAGAATGTGGTGGTGGAACTCGCAGCAAGGAGCCCCTCCCTCCCCTTCTGCCTCCCTGGGCTGCACTATTAAGCTCCTGCTATGTACAGGGGCTGCGCTGCTGGCTTGAGAGGCAGGAGACGGGCGGTGTCTGAAGTGATGTGAACACCCGGTCCTGGGCACCACCACCTCACGCCTGCGCACCTCCATGTGCACGCGCATGCACACACACTCGTGCCCCACCCAGGTGGTGAACGCCATGGCTCTTCCCTGTCTTCTCTAGGCAGGGCTCCCGGAGCGCGAGGCCGCCCAGGGTGTGAGGCAGAACTAGGCCCTTGGGTATGATGCCAAGACCACAGCTATCAGGAGTACGACGCTCACTCTGGTAAATCATCATGACAGGCAGCTACCCTTCGGAGCCCCACAACCTCCTAGTAAGTTTGGGCACCCTGCACCCAATATATAGGCGACAAGGCTGAGGCCGTGCAACGGGTTTGAGAGGTGACGGCAGCACACGTAGGCAGCCGGGCACACGCCGGCAGGATGCCTGAGCCCAGAGGTGAGTCCTGACGCTGTGCTCATGGCTGGGTGCTCTGAGGAAGCCACTTGCCCTCTGTGCCACTTTCCTCATGAGCTAAACAGGACGATGGCAGTATTTCCCCCTGGGATTCAGACAAGAGATGACGTGAGGCCTGTGGCTGGTGTTCTCTGGCCCCACCTGGCTCCTTAGGGTCCTGGGCCACCTGTCTCCCCAGGGGCTCCAGGATCAGCCTTCCTAGGGCTGGCTTCTGTTTACCTGCTCAGCCACCCTCGCTATCTCCAAGAATGGCTCACAGGCCGCAGTGACAGGCGGAGAAGGCGGAGACGCCACCTTCCCGCCACGGCCCTGGTGCCACAGGGGTCCTTTGTTGTGGCCGCTGCTTGGTGGCCTCTGCCTGAGACCTGAGTGCCTTCTTGGCAGAGACTGAGTCAAAGCCAGAGCTGAGGCCGCTGGGCATGGAGCCCGCTGCCCTTGGCATCTGCCAGGGCCCCGGGAGCTGTGAACAATGTGGATTTCAACACAAATGAGCTTGGTAGTTTTCACCACAGGGAAAGGGCATGGAGGGAAGAGGCCCGCTCCAGCTGGGAGGGCAGGAGGCCTGCGGTCTGTGCGGGACAGCCCAGGTGTCACGGGCAGAGGGGGCATTCTGGGGCACCTGCTGTCTCGCTGCTCCCCCAGGGAACCCCAGCTATGCAGACAGTGGAGAGGCAGGCCTCAGGCTGGGTCCTCCCACACTGTCTGTGGAGCTCGATTTATCGAAGGGGGCCCCTCTCTACCCCAGACAGAAGTGCTGAGCGCGCTCCAGGGAGAGCCCCTTACACAAACATTTGCCGATGGGGCACTTGGGGCTGTCAAAGCCTGTCGATATGGACAGGTTCTCTTCCTGTGCGTCAGGATTTGGGGACATATTGAGCCGTGGGCTTGCAGCAGTGTACTCAGCCTGTGCTTTTCTGGTTCCATGTCTGCCATGGCTCAGAGCTGTGGACGAAGGGCCGGGCATGTACAGCATCAGAGACTGCTGGACACGGGGACTCAGACAAAGGTGTCACTGACAGAGATGAATATCGCATGGCCGCAAAATGACAGCAGGAGCGAGCAGGGGCGGGGCATGCGTCCCAAGGCTGCCTCAAAAGCTCTGCTGCTCAGCCCATGGCCTGGAAGGGCGGCCGCAGAGCCTGGATACTGGTCCCTCCACAGGGACAAGTGTGAAGGGGACTTGGTGGCACACAGCCCCTGGGTGACACCTCACTGTCCAGCACTGTGGGCCTCCTGGAACCCCCTGCCCAGGCCTCTTCCCTCAGTGCCCTGTCCCTGTGGTGAAAACTTCCCAGCTCACTCGTGTTAAAATCCGAATTATTCGCAGCTCCCTGCGGGGATGGGCACGGACATCAGTGGCAGGCACCTGTTATACCAGAGACAGCTGCGCAGGAGTAACGCAGTGGCCACCGAGGGTCTCGGCACATGGGAGACCATGGCCTCATCCTACAGCCCAGCTCACCAAGTGACTGTCATGAAACCCCTTCTGCCTCCTGGCTGGACCACCACCAAGGGGTGTCTGAGAGGCTCTGGCTCCCCTGTCACTGAGTGACAGGTAGCAAGGACAGCAAGGGACATGTGCCTGCCTGCCCTGGGCCCAGCATGGCACTGTTCTGGGGTTCAGCGCTTCCTAGGGCATGCCTGCACACCCTGCATCAGAGGACAGGGCTGTGGGACCCACTGCACCGACCAGTGTCACCGCTCTTCTCCGGCTCACAGCCCTAGCCCTGCAGGCTCCCTGCTCCTTGGAAGCACCGGGCTCTCCAGGACCCTCCTGGCCCTGCCAGGGCAGCCACCTGAGAATGTGGAGGCCGGCTGCACCCTCCTCCCCAAGCTGTAGCCATGGCAGCAACCCCAGCATGAGGACATGGCAGACGCTTAGCATCTTCTGGTCACTGAGAGAACAGTCATCAAGATCCGATGTGGTGCCATCACCGTGTGAGACGTACAGCCAGGCCTGTGAGCTCAGGGCCCTGGCAGGAAGACCGCGGCCCTGGGACGCGGCACGAAGGAAGTAGAGTTGGACGCAGCATTCTGAAATTGAAAAGCTCGGTCCCTGGGGAAGGCCCCAGAGTCCATGGGTGATAAGGAACAGCCTTGGGTACCTGGACAGAGACTGTGGTACCAACAGGGCAGGGCCAGGAACTCAGGTCGTGGCCCCTGAAACAATCGCAGGACTAAACACCTGCTCTCACGCACCTGTCTGAGCTCCAGATGACCTGGACACTTGCTGTACAGAGTGAGAGGAAGGTACCCAGCTTGGGGCCAGTATGGGAGACTCTGGACAGCTCTGGGAGGAGGGGTGGTCATTGGCCTTTCCCTGAGTCACCCGAAACCACCCCCACACCGCTCCTACCATGGAAGTGCTCAGCTGTCTTCCGCCGCAGGGCCTGCAGGGTCACCTCAGAGTCTGCCCACTCCAGGACCAGCCTCCGGCCATACAAGTGGGTGCTGTGACACAGGGCATTGAAGGCTCGCTGTGGGTGACAAGAAACATAGGAGCGGTTAGCAGAATATGGGAGTGGGCAGTAGGCACTCTGCACTTCCTGCTGTCACCACCCTAGGGTCTAGGTGTTGGCCCTGGACCCTGGAGCCCCCGTGGGGATGGAGTGCTGGCCGGTGGATCTATTTAATTAATGGGTTATGTTTCCAGGGACAGAGCTGCAAATGACTGAGTAGTCAATACAGCTGCCGTCGTTGGTGCCTGGACTGGATGGCCATCTCATGTTCCACGTTAGATCCTATCTGCCAAGGGGGGGCCCCATTAGCAGCCTGCCTGCACCTGGCAGTCAGCAGCCCTAGCCGGGTGAGAAAGCCCAGTCTGCGGGGCCATAGCAGGGCAACCATAGGGGCCCGCACTGCTACTTGGTGTCACTCTCCTCCCAGTCCGTAGCCTCTGACACATCCACCTACAGCATGCTCAGAGCTGCGCACGGCTCTCCGTGTCACCTCCAGAACATCTCACCCAGCCTAGGGACATGAGCTCCTCAGCCATCGCTTCGAGTCCCCAGTTGTCCCCCAGTCTGTGGCCATGACTGACTGCTTCCTGTCTGGACCTGCCTGCTCTGGGCCTCTCCCAGGCATAGATCTAGGCAGCAGCGACACCGCCTGAATGCAACAGGAGGGCTTTTCCGGAGTCCTCCTGGACTGCAGAGCCAGCCTGTCCTGCATGTCCCAGCCTCCAGAGCACAAGCAAGTTAAGTCAGTCTTGCACCTCTGGAACAGGAATGCAGCATGACCACTCTATGGCGTCTGGGGACAATAAGGAAAGGTGTCACAGTGCCCGGAATGGTCCCCAGCACAAGGGCATGGCAAGCACACAGCAAGCACTCAGGTGCTGGCTCTCATCTCAGATGCGACACAGCTGTACCCTCTGCCTGCCAGCGGGGTTCCCAGAGGTCCCTGTAGGGCTGAGTCATGGCGACTTGAGGGAGCCTCCAGTCTGTCTCTAGGCAGTGATGGTGGCCACAGGACTAGGACAGGGGGGCTGTTTGTCTTTCTAACTTCTGTGGGTTCCAGAGGTGCCATATATTCAGAAGCCAGGCCAGATGGAACCAGCCACTCTGCCTTGCTGATAGCATGACTGTTATGGCTGGGCTGCGTCCCCCAGAGAGGACCCAGCGGGTCCTCACCCCAGGACCTCAGGCTGTGATGGTATTGGGAACAAGTGGCTGCAGGAGCACAAGGTGGGACGAAGCCACATCGTGGTAGGGCAGGCTTCATTCACAGGACTGGTGACTCGGGGGCTGCTGTATGGGAACAGAGGCAGACGCAGGCGTGATGAGACTGCACGCCAAGAACACTGAGGACTGCCAGCTGCTGCCGGAAGCCAGGAGAGCCATCATGGGGTGGATGTCCCTGTAGGAGGAGCCAACCCTGCTACCTCCAGAGCTGCTAGTCAGAACAGTGCTGCTGTTGAAGCCATGTGACCTGGGGCATTATCCTAGCAGGTGATGTGGTGACCTTGGGCAAGTCCTTCCCTGCAAGGTGCACAGGGGGCGGTACTCAGCGTCTCTGAGATAAAACTGGAGCTGCAAGGATGGGAGAGGGGGGAGCAGGAAAACACCCAGACCCACACACAGCCAGAGCAAAGGAGCGCTTCGTCATCCTCTGTGCTGAGAAGTGCCAGGTGCGGAGAACTTTTTCTTTCCTTTTTTTTAAACTTTCATTTAAACGCCTCTCTCTGCCAGCAGAGGCTCTGGATCTTCTTCCAGGCAGACATAAAGTTGCATCTGGACTCCGCGCTGAAATGGCCCATTCAGAACTCTGAACACACGGGCTCTCAGCTGGTGAGGCAGGAAATGGTCTGACGGGGGAGGGTCTGGTAAGGGGGGGGTTCCAGCCCAGCACCAGAATCCCCGAGGAGCTGCATCCCTGGGACACAGCAGGTTGGTACGGCCACCAGGCCACACCTGGTGGACGCTCAGCCCGAACATGGAAGAAGGGAACAAGCTGGGCTCCCTCTGCCATCAGCCCGGCTGGTGTCATCACTGCTCCGCGGCCTGCTTGCACTGCATTAGCATGGAAGAGGTTTCCGTGCTCAGAGGCAGGCAGGCATAGCAGCTCGGAGCGCAGGCTCTGCAGCTGGCTACTTCAGTTCAAATCCCAGCTCTAGAACTTAGAAGCTGTGTGACCTCTGGCAAGGAGCTTAACATCTCGGGCCTCTGCTTCTCAGCACCCAAGCAGGGGGAGGATTCAGTGAACCTCTCAGTCTCAGGCTGCGCACACTGCGCAGTGTGCTACAAGTCACAGGAAATGCTGCCTGTCCTCGTCCTTGTCATCGTCATTGTCATTATTATGTATGCCTGACTTTTCATTAGTAACCAAAGAGCAGGAACAACGATAGCTCAGATCCAAAACCTCCTTAGTGTTTGCTGTTAGAATGCAGTACAGGGTTCTCCACAAATAACAGAATTACTGTTCCTTGTTCCAGTCCCCACAGGTTAAGGGGAGATCAAGAGCGCCTTCTTGTGCGCCCACTGCTGCGATGGCTGGAATGCGGTGGCCTTAAGCTGTCACAGGCGGTGTGGGGACAGTGATTTGAAGCTAAAATTGGCTTTGGATAATCTGGAGTAATTACGTTTCATTAAGAAGGTGTAATGAGAACTTGTTGTATCCGAGACATCCTAGGGGACAGGGGAGCAGGAGGAGGGTAGGAAGACTCTGCTCTGACCCCAAGGGGCAGGGAACCTGTTGCAGGGAGTGACGGCTCCAGCCCAGCACAGGAAAGAGCAGGATCCTCGGCCAGCAGCTTCCCCTCCACATTGGACCCCAGCGACCCTCCCTCCCGAGCTCCTGAGGGCTTCTAGTACTCAGCTCCAGGCAGGGCCCAGCCCCTGGTCCTGCTCCCTGGAGGGATTCTGTGTTCCTGGGTAACTCCTGCTGTCTCCCTAGGGTTTCCTCTCTGGGAATAAAATGCCTTCCAGGCAAAGAGTGTGGACTGTGGCTGACAGAACCCAAGCACAGGACCTCCAATTATTTCTGAGAGTGTCGCTCCAATGAGGGGAAGAGAGGCTCCAGGGCGGTGTGTGGGCAGCTCAGCTTCCTTCTTCCTCTCTGGCCTGCGATGGTCAGTGTTTGGCCGGCCCAGGAAGGCTCTGTCCTTCTCACACAGGCTGCAGCCAGTGTTTTCCTGGCCCGTTCCTCCTGCCCCTCCCCACAATACCTCCTTGTGTTCATCTCCCAGGTGAGTGGCCGGCCAGGGCTGCCTGGCTTAGCTGTCCCATCCTGGAGTGCAGTCCACAGAGCACTGGAGGATGGGTGTGGCTAGGCCGAAAGGGGCAACCTAGGGCCACCTGGCCTTCCACTCTGGCAAGTTCACTGTGCAGTCTTGCCCTGGACCTGCACCCCGGGTGCACGATGTGGGCCCTTGCAGGACAGCGCAGGACCCACGCCTCCAGCCTCCAGAAAGCACACCTCCAGCCCCCTGCTGGCCTGCTAGGGAAGCCCACCCACTATCCAGAAGCAACTCCAGGGACGCAGTGGTTGGCAGAGAGAACGCCAAAAAGAAGCCAGATGGCCCCGGGAGCCTCTTCCTGCCAGGTACTGATCGCTGAGGTTGGTCACCCCCATTTTCTACCTGTGGGAGCCTATGCTTGCACCTGAGGCCAGGGCTCCTTGCACCTTCTACCCAGGGATTTTTTTTTTTTTTTTTTTCTTTTTGAGACAGGGTCTCACTGTGCAGTTCAGGCTGGCCTTGAGCTCACTTCACAGCCCAGGCTGGTCTAGATCTCACAGTGATCCTCCTGCCTCAGCCTCCTAAGTGCTGGGATTACAGAACAGGAGGTAGTGGCACAGATGCAGGGAGGATAGGTGGAACTACTCCCTGTGTCCCCTCAGCCTAATGGAGATGATGTTTCCCTGTCGCTAGTCTCTAGTGAGTCCTTCAGTCCCACTGACTCCTCCAAAAATCTCTTCCTTTGAAGAATCAGGAACCCTCCAATGGTGCCAGAGTCCTTCTACCCTGACAGGGGCACGGGTGGGCTCCCTGCCTTAGGCAGCACATCTGGAGCCAGGCTCTGCTGTGAGCTGCGGCACCTGCAAGTGTGCAGAGCAGCTCCGGGGCATCCACTGTCCCGTCTCTGGCCTGGCTGTGCAGACACCCTGGCTCCTGATTTTATCTGACTCGAGCCATGGACCATGTGTTTGGGGTATCCTGGCCTGGCGCTGCCTGGTCCAGTTTCCCTGGAAGGAGGCCTTCTGAGTGGCGTGGGGACAACAGTGCAGGCTGGACTGTGGCCGGGCCCAGTTGCCATCTCTCTAGGCCAGGTGGGCGCCGGAAGGCTGCCAGTGTGGTGCCGGACTAACCTTTCCACAGCTCCCCAGAGGCCGCAGCTTTGTCCCAGCCAACTAAAACCACTTTGTAAGGGGCTGGGGAGATGGCTCAGTAGAATAAGTGCTTGCCTGGCAAGCGCAAGGACCTGAGTTCAATCCTCAGTTCCACCAAAAAACAAAACACCACTGTGTGCCCTTGGCAGTGCTTCTGGCCCTGAGGACTGTGACAAGCTGCCTGGGGCCACAGCTGCCAGGCAGAGCTGAGCATAGGCACTCTCTGGTCCCCTCCTGCTTCTCGGGGAGCTGCCTGATACAGCAGATGCTGAAGGAATCTGGGCATGGGGACGCCGATGTGCCCTGAACCTTACATCTCCTTGGTGCGCAGGTCAGTGGGTTCTAAGCCAGCCAAGAATGCCCATGTACCCAGGAACAGGGCCACCAAACATGGGGAGAGGGGACCTGGGCCCGGCCAGCACTGCCAGGGCCTGGATTGCTCCCCTTTCCCAGGTGGCCCAGAAATAGAGGCTGGTGATTTCTGGCGGGAAGCTCCGTCTTCCTGGGAGGTTCTTGTGTGGCCTTCCAAAGGACGCGTGGGCAGTGACTGCTACAGTTCCTGTCCTCTGGGTTCCTACTGCTGCCATGTCCTGGGGGTGGGGGAGCCGCACACTAGGCAGGCATTCAGCTGATGATGTCCTGGGTTCTC